CCATCTTCATCGCCAGGCAAGTGATGGAAAAGTATAGAGAAAAGCGCCGCCCTGCTTCCTCGACCTGGAGAAGGCGTTCGACCGTCTACCGCGAGCAGTACTATGGAGATCGCTCAATCAAGTCTATTTGTAAGGGTTACTGACGGTCCTAATCATGAATATGGTACTAATTATTCATGCTAACTCCATTTTGCGCGAATTTTGAAACGTCAACTCGAAATGCAAAAATTTGTCACCACGAGGAATCGAACTAGGGACCCCTTTTCTGGTATTCAGAGGGCCGTTCAGGAAAAATGAACCATGGTTCTGTGGTTCCCGCATGTGCCCCTATATCATGCAAGAAACCATTTTGAAAAAGCTTGGCACACCCTGAACGACCTCCCTTGTAAGATCAATCGAAACACTGCTGGCAAGGCGATTACAAGGCTTCTGCCAACCGAAAGGTGGACGTGTAGATTGAGAAGCATACTCTGTGTAGTACTAAGGCTTGGTAAGCCTTCCAAAGGAAATAAAGGAAGAAGAGATGCTCTCATAGTATGCTAACTTAGTCTAGCTCCCCGCTTTTTGCTCCAATTGTTGATAGGACTCATTAATAATTTTTCTGACTTTCTATTTGATGAGCGGTTTTTTATGGTGGAAGATGGGGTAGCAGAGTTTTCTTTAGCTGAAATGTTTTCGGGTAGGGCTAAACAACTTTTTCACTTCGGCTTGTGAGGAGGGCCGTTTCATGGATTTATGGAATTTGGTGTGGCCGCCCGATGGGGCGGAAGGGGGTGGGGGTGGTCATATTTTAGAACGTTCCTTGACAGCTCGCTTGACCTGATGGGAGGGTTCCCAAATCTGCGAGTTACCATGGATTGTATTGATTCACATGACTTTGGCCCCTTCATTCCATTCCATTCCTTGGGTGGGTCAAAGTGAAAATCCTTAGGCTTTCTGGGGCCAATTGTGAGGCTGAAGTCTTGTATAAAGTATGATTTCTGCTGTAGAACTTCTTTGCCTGATGATGGGCGCAGGTGACGAAGAGTCTAAACAGGAGCTGAACCACATCCTTCCAATCTTAAAGAGCTCCGAACTCGGTTTGTCATGCTTTGATATTAACCTATGTTCATGGTCAAGTTCGTGTTGACAGCCCTCATACTGCAAAGCCACTGCTGTCGCATGCACCAAGCAGCGCTTCTTTTAGTGTCGATGGCGGCGTGCGACAAGGCGGTGTCTTCTCGACGAGGTCATTTTCGATGACGTCGTACTTGATCTTCATGGCTTGAACCATCAGGTTTCCAAGCTTCAGATGCAAGTGCATCCAATCACTCATTTTTGGGCGTGTTTGAGTCTCAAAACTTTGTCACGCGTTATCTCGAGGCGAGTCTTGAACAACGCTGCCGGTTGGTTTTCGATAGAAGTATAGTCAGCGATAGCTGGCCAATTTCGGGGCTATAGGGCTGGGGTACGACTCCAGTAGTTTAATGCTTGTTTCCGGTGTTTGACCTATGGTGGCTTTTGATTTCAGCCGAGCAACGCTTACACCCTTACCTGTCACTGTGAATGCCGAGCTTTGGCACTGTGCTGACATGCAGGACAGCAACCGGCACAGCACAAAGCGGCACCAATACACGTAAAACAGGCAGATACCCCTGGTAGAAGACGCGATCGACAACAAGCACTGCAATGACGGTCCTCCTCCTGAATCCACCTGCGTGCTCAGGGCAAGTATAGTGGGTGCTTTGTGGCCCCTGATTTCCCACTAGTGCCCCACGTATCCACCCCACCATCTGGCTATAGCGAGAGAGGACCGCCAGTGAACGACATCTCCACTCCAAATACTTCTGAAAATCCCACGCAGGGTCAACCGTCCGTTGGACAAAATCCAACGTGGGGTGGGGTGGGGATCGTATTTGGGGTGGAAAAGGGGGGTCGTATTTACCGCGGAGGTCGCGTTATATGTTACTAGGTAAAGGGAAGTGTGATTGTTTGGTTGCGCGCGAAAAATTGCCGTTTCACTGTATGTATATGGCGTAATTTTGGAGGAAAAAGTGGGCGGAGTTGGGCTGTGTCGACTGGTCTCAGAATCAAATACTATAGAGTGAGCCCCATGATGGCGATGGCAGGCGAGGGTGGTGGAGGATGGCCGTGAAGGGTTAATCCTGAGGGGGGGGGGTCGTATCGAGGCCCTCTAGAAGGGGAGGGGGTCGTAAAATTTTCGAAATTGGTCCAACGTGACGGTTGACCCTGATTCACGACTTGACCTCATCCAATGCGGATCTTCTTTCCCATAGTGAAATGCAATCTCAAAGTTGAGAAATCCCTCCCCGAGTTTGCCTTGGCCAGCTAGCGGCACTTTAAAACGAAAAGGAAATAAAAAGAGAGAAAACTTACTATAAAATCCATCCTTCGGCTCCGACGTTGGCTCAATCCTGCTTACGGGACCATTTTAGTTTTCCTTGAAAGATTTCCTACAACAGCGAGTAATCGATATGTTTTATTGTAACATCCGGAGAATGATTAGTGCACAATCACGTTTATTCTACGTTAACATGAGCACAGCTACAATCAAGAAATCAACAAGAAAAAAAAAACACATTTAATTCAATTTAAAGAAAAAATTCACATGAATAAAGCTGTACGAATTTGAATTTCATCATAGTAACGTACAATGTACACCAATGTGTTAATCACAAATTATATATAGATAAAAGTCTAACCTGACAAGAACTCTAATTATAACTAGTTTAGAAAAAATCTTAAGTATAATTTCACAATTTTTTAGCCAGAATAATCATAATATTACAATTTAACTACTACAATAATTCTTTGACTGTTGAAAATCTCAAGATAGATTAGATTTCAGCCAATAGCCCGCTGGATTTCTCAGAAGGAAATGTGGAAAAAAAGCAGCTGAACTTACAGCACACGTTGATATTTGTCGACGTATAGAAAAAATGGGTATTGATTTTCGACCCTACTAAGGATCCAATAAAAGGGTGAAATGATATCAACGTAGACAATAAGGTTCAGCTCTGCTTTATATGCATTTACAATGAATGTATGTTCACTGTCTTGAAGACGTTCAATAAATCAATAATCGACAACGAGTTAAGGTGGAAAAAATCACATTTTGCGTTAAACGGGTCACTGGTTGATGTTCGGTATGTAGCCTAAGGATAGACTGAGATAGATGAGTAATCAATCGATAACCGCTTTCGACTGATTATCATGTCACTGATAGAATGTGATAATATGATAATTGCGTCTAACATTGCGACGACGAAGCGATGAAAGAGATAACGCGGCGACGAAGGAGACGCCGGCGAAACCGATTGCAACGAACAATAACAGCCGCACGCGTTCATGTGACGCGTGCGTCTGTCATCGATCAATAAATCAATAAGTTCCGTGTTGAGTTATTTAACCCATTGGTTGAAATTTCCATGTTTCCATTCCATATGGATTTGTGGTGGTTCCAGCTGACGGTTGAGTGTATTGAAAGTAGTCCATCGGACTTTGGTAGTTTGCTGAAAAATCGATTTATTGATTTCTCCGGAAGCAATCATGTTTTTTATAGAGCCGGAGAATAGCACAGTACGCAGAGTTGCTCCAAGTAACCTACTCTCTGAGACACTCAAACCTACACATGTATATATACATATTTATCGATTTTCCAGTTTAAAAAGGATAAAGCATTTGCCGTTGATCAATCCCTTTTTGGGATGCGGCACGCATTCTACTTCCATTTGTACATTCGTAGTGGCGTTTGAATGCGATGTGGCCTATACAATGACTTGCGGGGGCCAGCCGATGTACAAGTCAGTGTTTTTATCCTCCCAGACAAGTCTGGTACCAATTAACCGACCCCGGAGGGATGGAAGGCTTGGTTGGCCCGGGCGACTCACGACCCAGGATTTGATCCCCGGACCGCTCGCGTGGTAAGCGTGCCACTTGCCACTACACACTTCCGCCCTCAAACCTCTTTGAAAGACAACGATTCCGTATACCATTGTAATAGCACAGATTTGGCCTTCTTCGCTGGAAGAAGTTAGACATGATTATGGGTGACGTGGAGTGGCCAGCGATGGCTTCCTTGCACGCTTTCTGAGTTCGGATCTCTTCCCCCTCCTCCTTCCCTCCCTCCACCTCACCCGGCTTATTGGGATCCTCCACCTCTTCAAGATAGCCCAAATGATGCCGTGTATGTGTGAAATGGCCACTACTATACAATATGTCGAAGAAATATTCTGTTCACTCCCAAATGTCCCACGAATCTGACAAAGAAGATCTTTCAGGTTGGACCCGCTTTTCAACGTCTTTCTTGCACATAAAGGGACACGCGCATGGAACACGGAAGAATGCTTTAATTTTTATGTGCAGTTCTTCGAACGACTAAGGGGGGGAAGGAATGGTCCATGGTTCAAATCCTCGTGGTGGCAAAGTTTTGCATTTTTGATTGACGTTTGCGCGATGTCATAAAACAGCATCTCCAGCAAGAAATTGATGTCATATTACCACCAGGAACATGAGTAGCCCATGTAAAGCAGGTTTTTGCCAAATACTGGGTCGAAAAGTCATGGCACTTGAGCCTTTTCATCCGCTTTGCATTCAGAAGGCCGCTCAGGAAAAAACCATAGCTCTGTGTTTCATGCATGTTCCTCTACATCATGAAATTCGTTTTTGAAAGGCGAGCTATGATTTCATGAGGAGAGTGAAGGTCGATTGCGTGGGTAATCCCAAATGGGAGCTGCTCGCCAAGCGCATTACTTCGAGGATCAGAGGTTTTTCATCGAAACAACCTTCTTAATAACACTCTCATCTTATTGACAATATCATGTCCTCTCTCGGATACACAGGTTCTATCGATTGGCTTAGCAGCGCATTCTCTTGGGATATATCGAGGTCTATCTTAACAGTGCAGTTTCTACAAGTCGATACAGCAGTAGCTCCTCAAGCACACTGATATCTGATAATCCAAAGGAATCTCGATCGATACTCACCATATGTGTACTGCGCTTGTGGTCGGAACGATGCGGCCGCGTAGTTGTTTGGTGAAGCACTGCTGCTCAGATAGCTGGCCGGAGTTGCCTTCTCGTCCGGACATGGGCTCTGCGACTGGTCGGTCAGTGTCGACTCACCTGGTTCTTTTCAGACTTGATCTGAAAAAAACACAGTTGATGGGAAAATTCTCAGGGTTACCAGGACATATTTAAGTGATAATTTCCGGACTGAAATTCTTACATTTACATTCGGCATCAGTGGTCGAGTTTGTGTGCCCTCGGTCGACGAGGAGCCGCTGCTACCACCAGAACTGTTCTGTTGGGACTTCTTCTGCTGGCGAGCTTTTGCTCGGCGATTTTTGAACCACACCTGAAAATAGGCCAACTTCGATTAACATCATGGTTAAGAAAGTCTTTTTCCCCGCTTTAGGAGTCTGAAAGCCAAGGTCGGTGACCACATTTTGCTAACTGAAACTGTGTGATGAACCCGTTAACGAAGCTGCGTGGTGAACCCGTTATTCACAAGTTCACATGGAAGGAAGCCGCCTTTAGCGTCCAATAATCTCTTGAGGAAAGTTTCTTTGAGACTTTTTCCTATGAAAGCGGCTATCTCTTCACATTCTTGGGCTGCGCAGATCGGTAAGGGTAACAGTGGTCAGGCCTATCCTCATAAATAGGTCAGTCCTAGGAGCCCTAGATGGTCCAAGGTGGTAGAGTAGATAATCTGTAGGTGCATTTCTACCAACCATGACCCCCTTTTAATATTCATGCGACTTTTTCCCTACAGGGTCTCGTTTTGCGCCTCAATCAAATCGATATGGTCGTCGTTGAATGATTTCTATTTGGTCGTCAGTCGACGACGGAGGCCGTGCCCCATGGATACGGTAGGAACGAGTTCCGAACGAGCGCATGTCACTCTGTCACTGTGACGGAGAATAGTGAGTGATCAGTGGAGATTGCTAGACAGTTTGGGATTTTTGATAGAAATTTCAAAGCTGCTTATGTTTCCGTGTTTCGGCCAGAGTAAGCCTTGGTTTTTCCCCTGTCCCTGTTACACAAAGTCTACCCCTATCATCTACCAGACAGGCATCCCTGCAGAAGTAGCAGCTTTCCCTTGTTATGATGCCACCTCGGGAAGAACCCGCGCCTTATCCCTGAGGCACGAGGATGTCAAGGTGTGTCTTCGATCTCATACACAAACCGATTTTCAGACAATGTCGTTTGAAAGCTTGAAACGGACAGTACCTGAACTCGACTCTCGGGCAGCTGAATCTTCAGCGCCATGTCTTCCCGCATGAAGATATCTGGATATCTGGTCTTCAAGAAGGCATGCTCCAGAATTTCCAACTGACTTCGGGTGAACGTAGTACGCTCCCGACGCTGTTTCCTGAAATCGCACTCTATTTTTTGGGCTTTTGAGCGAAAATAACAACTACCGATTTTGAACAAATTTGGTGTTTTGACTCAATTGTGCCAGAGCAAGCCCCCGT